CAACATTCTCATTTCACAATTGATAAATTAATTCTAAAAACAATCTCGACCTATATAGAATCCACTTTCCCTTGGATTCGCGAGCTAAGCTTCTTTCACTCGTAAAAAAAAAAAAAAAAAAAACTAAGCACGAGGAACAAAACCGTAATAAAAGAAAGAAATCCTCCGTCCACAGAGAGGTGGGAACTTTATGCAAATTCTCATAAACCAGCCCACCTTGCTTTTAACGAATTCAATCCGAGAGATATCGTCACAGATTTTCGCTGACACCCGGTACATTACCAAGAGATAAGGAAAAATTCACGCTGCCCTTCATCTCTTTCCCAGTATTTCCAACCGTCCAACCGTCTAAATTATACGGCACAACTGGCGAATATCATTCTACACGGTGTTGATATATTCGTGGAACACTTTTGAAGGATTAATTCTCTCGAAATTAAAGCAAAATTAAGTCGATGTACAAAAATTGTTGAAAGTTATTTATTAAATTATAAACAATATTTAAATTATCATTGGATGGAGCGACACGAAACTGGAACGAGGCAGCGAATTTTTATTAAATTGCTCGTAATTTAATAAACAAACTTTCATAAAAATTTTTGTACACCAACTCTTTTGTTTCGATCCTCCAAAGAATATATGTTAACATTTTTCAGCAGAAAAACTCGTGCTGAAAAACCAGCTGCTTTTTGTCCAATGATGACCATATAATAGAGTGAGACAACTTTTGTTAAATTTAAATTGTTCGTAATTTAATAAAAAAGCCTTCATAAATAAAATCATCATCGAAATTTGTACATATTCTTTAGTTTATTTCAATTTCTAGATCGAGAGATCCAAAGAATATATTAACACCTTGTATATACCAACAGAGAAACTCGTCTGGAAAACCAGCTTCTTTCTGTCTAACGATGATAATATAATAGAGTGAGACAGTTGTTATTAAATTTAAATTGTTTGTAACTTAATAAAAAAACCTTCATAAATAAAATCTTCATCGAAATTTGTATATACTCTTTTTTGTTTGTTTCAATCTCTAGACTTTCAAAGAATATATTAACACTTTCTACCAACAGAGAAACTCGTCTGGAAAACTAGTTTCTTTCATCCTTCAACGATGATGATATAACAGAATGAGACACCTTTCATTAAATTTAAATTGTTTATAACTTAATGAATAACTCTTCCTAATCTTGAATCTTCACCGAAATTTTATATATACCCTTCTGTTTGTTTCAATCTCTAGACTTCCGACGAATTATATTAACACCCTGTACACCGCCAGCCAGGAGAAACTCGTGTGAGAAACCGTGTGCTTTCTGCCCAATTATTTTCGTATCTTTGCCAGCCATGACCACCATCCGTCCGTGGCCCTTGCGGCTGTCGTGGACCGCACGTGTCCCCTGTATCCATCCTTTAACCGCCCTTCACCTGGATATCACATTCAGGAAATGGAAATACCATAATGGCCGCTGAAATGCAGCCTCGGAAAATTTCTACGGCCATACGTGTCTCCATCCTAATGCTTTTTCCCTCAAACACTCGGACTGTGAAAGAAAATTGAAAAGTCTCTGTAAGCTCGGCTGATACGGGTGAGACGAGGCGATTCGAAATTGGAATCCGGGTTTTTTTCTAGAATTTCGTGCTTAAAAATCATTGGACCAGATAATGGATTGACAAATCGGTTAATCTTCGTCCAATTTTCTCGAAATTTTGGATAACGATTTAATAATATTTTTTTTGTATGGAATGCAATTGATTTAGAATCGGAGAGTGTTAAAATAAATTTGGTAAGTAATTTTCTTTCAACTTTTCACGAATAGTAATCCGCTTTTGTAATATTTAAACAGCAAATTGTATCTATCTGCTACTAATGAAAGTGAGAAATTTTTATTTTACCAGGAAAAATGGCATCGAATCCGAGAGAATCACTTAGGAGAGAGAATATTTCAAGAATTGATTCGAAGAATCGACAATCTAGAGAAAATGGAAGCAAATGCAGTTTGGCATTCGAAGAGATTTCGCGTCAGAACGGAGGACAATAGTTTGCGAATGTATTGTGCGGTTTGGAAAAGAAGAGAAAATCCATGGGAAAATTGAATTTTAAAATTCTTGATTAAAAATTTTAATTGAAGTTTGTTTTTGAAGAGATATTGCTTCGTGGATGAAATATATTCTTAAAGGAAGAATCGATCTTATTCGCGAGAAAAACAAAGAAGATTGCATTTCGAAATATCGAAATATTATCCGACTTCTACATACTTCATTTTCTAAGAAATTAACTCGCACGTTCGAATCATTCGTCAATTTCCCGATATAAATTCTCGAAAAGCGAAAATGTCGCGCGAAAATTTTCTTCGATCAATCCTAATATCGAATCCAATAACACACCAATATAAAAACCAACTTCCCCAACAAAGCCCCGCGTTCACCCCCTATATTTGCATAAAATATAGATTCAGGAAGGATATCATCTTGGACGGGAAAAACAGAAATGTATTCAATGCATACGGAAGTGTGATATAACCGAGAAGAGCGGAACACGTAGGTGGCAATAATAGGCGAGGATTCGTATTATCGACTGCGGGTCCCGATAATCGATTCACGAGGAAGAATCGCGCCCTCCCCTTTATCGAGGACACCCGAGTTCTTCCCGCACCGCCTCCCCCTCCCTCGTTCTGCCATTTCTCTTCATGCATCGCAATGTGTTGCTGCATTACGCAATATGTCACGGCGGGGTCGCAGCACGGGTCAACACGTCGAAGGAACACAGTTTCCAAGTTTCCAAACCGTTCGAACTTACCGTGCGAAACCGTGCGAATTGGACCCGCATGATCATATCTTCACCCTCTGAATAATAATTAGATCCTCTGTACACCTTGTGTTCAATCTAATCTTCTCTATCAACCGTTCGATTCACACGCGTGGCTCGAGTCGGCATATTTTACGTGTCATAAATTTTTGGACGGAAAGAGTTGTGGATCGATCGATGGGACCTGAATAATTAAGTTAGCTCGACTCGGGGTAGATTTAGTTTTCATTGTTGTTAGTTTCTTTTCATTTCGTCTCGGAATTATAGAAAATATTTGTATCCTATTAGTTTCCAAATTCCTCTTTTTCTAATCAAGCTCTACGTTTTGTTTTATCGTCAAACTTTTGGATCACATCAATTAGCGCACGAACATGTGTAATAAATAAAATTTGTATGTTCGTTGTGAAAACTCGACTATGACATTTCTCATCGATTTCTTGCAATAAATATTAAGGAATAAATTGTAAGAAAGGAAATTCAACTTTGCTCAAAGTTTTCGCAAAAGATCGAAGATTTTCTTACTTTTCCCCCTCGAATCTTTCAATTATAAAATCACGGAATACAATTTGTACTGTAAGAAATCCTTTAATTGTCTGCTTTAATTAACAACGAAAAAGAGAACGAAAAAGAATTCTTTCAAAAGAGATAGATTCTACAATCATAATTAACAACAGTGAAACTTTTATATTCATATAGTTCTTTGAAAGTTGAAAATAAATCCACGGATAGATCCATGATCCGATGGAATCTTCAACTTCCTTGAAAATGTTAAAACCACTTGCATCGTCGAATTTACGAACAATTTTCGTGACTCTTTCAAGATTACCAAGCAATCAAGAATATATAAGAACGAAATCAATGTTACGTAAATTAAAAATTTTTTAAAAAATTATTTTTCGAGAAGTTATTATCAAATTGATTTATAGATTAATTTTTACTTTTAAAAAATATATCATTTATTATAAAATATATCGCATCGTGTAAGTAGAATCATGAATTTGAAAAAAAAATTAAAAAATATGTAATTAGCATTGCCGCTTAAAATAAATAAGTGACAAGATATTGATTAATCGAATAATTTCTGACTAAAATGACGTATAATTTACGATTGAGAAGAAAGATGAAAATATATAAGCTTCTCTATTGGAGAATTTGTGTGAAATAAGCCTTGCTAACAATAACTCAATGAAACGATAAAATGTATAACAAGCAGGCAAGAAAAATAATCAACGTCTATTCATAAATTGCTTTTGTAAAGTAATTTTAGAAAAACCATTCTACGTATGTATAATAATTTCTCGAGGAACATTCTAAATTTAAAATTTTGGATAATGTAGTATATTTTAAAATATCAATATATAAATATATATTAAATAAAATATTATAATAAATACAAATTTGAAAAATTTAATTATTTATTTCAAATTTCAACATTTTCTTTTATTTTTTCAATTATAAAATTTAAATGAATTCTTTTTCTTGCTATAAAAAAAAACACAAGATGAAATATCAAGACTTAAATTTCGTGGATAAAATCTGTCCGAACATTCCTTAAAAACCAATCCCGATACATCTTGAGATAAAAACACTATACAGTAAATAATCTCAAAATATTTGCACATTTATCTTTTCTGTAGATAACATCGAATTACCAACTATAATTTTCTCTCGTGCAGTTCTTAAACAAAATTACTGAAACTGTTTTTCTTTGATATTGATTTTATCTAAACAACTCTGATCCTCTTGATTAAAAATATTATCTTTTAATTGATATAACGATTGTCTTCATCAATCAAGATTGAATTTCTATTTGAATTATTTAGAGACACGAGCAATTTGTAAGATTATAGAAATGATCGTTTAAGAATCATCCGGAACAAGATAGAAATAGAAATTTCGTGATTAATATAAGCTGAATATTTCTCATTATAGAAAACGAATAAGGATAATAAATGGAACAATGGAATAATGGAAATTTGTTCTATTTATAAGAACTCTCATTAGCATTATTTTAGTAATAAATATAATAAAATATTATTATTTTGAAAAAAAATTAATAAAAATAAATAGAAAAATTGAATAAAGTTCCAAAAAATCAAATAATTTTTTTTATAATTATAGTTTGTTTAAAAATACTAAAATAGTTTAATAAAATATGAATATATATTTTAGATTTTCATATCTCTTTTATATTATCCTTTATTTATATTATATTGTTTTAAACGTACAATCGTGCAAAGCCTACCTAATCGTTGATTAAAAATTCACTTCGTCCAGTTCGCGTGAAAGCCTTAGGGTAATCTCCAAGGTAGACGTATCACTGTGCCACTTGGCTGATGAGGCGTTAGGATCAACCGGATGTGGCGTCTCAAGGTGGAGCCGATAACTGAAAAATCGTGACTGACTTTAAGCTCTGGCAGATTTACGGAATCGTAAAATTGTCAAAGAAATTCCAGTTTGACTGGAAGTCAGGGCAACGAAAGTTCGTAGAGAATTGCCTGATAAATTGTTGGGATCGTCTCTTACTTTAGGCTACGAACGTCTATCGCCTCGGTTTCCACAGACAGCTCAATTTTCTCGCGCTTTTCATTCGGCATCTTCACAAACACGGACAACCACTCGCATGATGCAGTTCCTGGTGTTTTAAAGCCCATCTAATTTAACAAGAAAATACGAATTCTATTTTAGATTATAATAAACATGATAATAAAACAATAAATAAAGTTTCCTTATAAAAAATAACACAAAGAACAAATCAATAAAAATTTCATTCTCAGAATTAACAAAAAAGAATTAATTTTAATTAAATTAAATTTAATTCTTGCAAATCTGAATATAATATATTTTTGATACAAAATTTTTTTTTACAATAAATATATTATAATTAAAAAATGAATAAAATCATGTATTTTCCGATTAAAAAATTTATACAATGAACATAAACAAAGTTCAAAAATGTCACAAATGTCAAAATGTGATACTAACTCCCAAAAAGACATCTTCCGCTGTCACTGCCTGTTTAAATTTCATTTCGTATTCAGGTACTTTTCTTGGATCATAGGTTTCAAAATTTTGAGAGGCGATTGCTTCTGATGAATGCCAAATATTATCAGAATTCATTTCCAACGGTGCATGTGGCCCCGAATGATCTTGAGATATTCCATTTTGCACTTTGATATCGCCAGGCCCTTAAAAACTCATGTACACTATACTATAAAACTTACAAAAAAATATACTTTTCCATTTATTTTTCATTTTTTTTCTTTTTTGTTTCATTTTTTTTCCAATAATATGCAGTATAATATTCCAAAATTTATCAAATTTTTATATATTGAATTTAATATAATAATTTTCTCTATAAAAGTTATAAACGAATACAATAAATATTATCGATTATATACATATAATACTTATAATACTATCAATAATACTATTGATTAGAATTTTTATAAATTTTTTATTTATATCAAATAAAGTTTTATATATTTCACTTTACAAATTTATACGCCATTTTGAATAAATAAAATTAAATTTTCAAAGAAAAATACATAAATTATTATTTTATTAATGTTATCAACTTTAAATATTAAATATTTTCGATTTTTGTAACACAATTTTTCTAAAATGAAATATAATTATTATATTAATTTTACTATCAAACTTTTTATCTATGCTCAAATCGCATATTATTATACAATATTATTGTTATTATAAAAATAAAAGCATTATGTTTTTTATAAAAAAGAGAATTTATTTACTTATATTAAAAATATTATATATATATACACATTTTATTTATTAAACAAGTAAAGAAAAAACTATATTTGCTAATCTTTTAACTTACCAAGTTTTCGTGCACCAGCCTGTGGTAAATCATCTTCAGAATCTGAACTATCTTTTGTAGGATTAATTAATTCTTGCAATGCTTTTAATTCTTGATAACTGAAACAACCATCCATTTTTTAACTTTTATATTACAAATTATTTTTCACATTGACATTACACACAAGCAACTAAACATACTAAATGCATGAATCAACAGAAGTGGTTGTCAAAGTAACACATTTCAAATATTGTATCTATAAAAATGATAATATAATAGTAATAATACAAAAAATAATTGAATATTTATATATAATAGAATATATACAAGTTCAAATAATAGAATTAAATCTTTAACATAAATAATAAACAAAAAAATGATTTAAAATTAAAATAACGCGCGAAAAAACGAAGAATAAAGCATTCAATTTGGCAGATAGATACCTTGCAGGTTTACCAATCACAAAATAAGAATCTTTTCTTACGTTTATCAACATGGCTGACACTACGGATGAAAAATTATCAAAAAAGTGAGTAAAATAATAATATAGAAAACATTAATAACAGAAAATTAATTTTTGGAAGCTTACATTTATAAGCGTACATTTATAAAAAGTTTATCTATATTTATAATTTTGACCAATATAATTTAACCAATATAAAGCAACAATCAATGCCATATTTTAGCTAACCACGTTGTTATACAAATAATTATATATTGATACTTTTTTTAAGTGTTAACTATTATTTTATATGTTTACAAATAAATAGTTTTATTGTATAATATTAAATATTAAAATATTATAATTCTTTTAATTATGCTGTGTAACATAACCAAAACTTTTGTTGACGTGGTATTGCCGGTATTTTATAAAACAAAACCAATAAAATTACGTCAAATATCAGTATATCATTTTCACACAAAGTGCGTATATTTTTAAAAAAGTGTAATTTTTTATATAAAAAATAAAATCTATATTTCGAATATTTTAAATTCCGTTACAGTGAATTAAAAAGACGTTTAAAAGCAGAACAAAAATTGAAAGAAAAAGCAGAAAAAGAAGCAAAAGCCGAAAAATCAATAAAAGATAAAATCAAAATTCAAGACAAGAAAGAAATTAAGGAAGAGGAAATTAGTCCAAATGTAAATATATTATAATATATTCATATATAATATATGTATATATTGTGTTACATATAATTATATAATATTATATATAATATGTTTTTAAAATATGCTTTTTTGATTAATTAAATATTTTAATGTATTTAATATATATTTATTATTACATTTACATTAAATATTACATAACATTTTTTAGGAATATATTAAACTTAGAACGCAAGCAATCAATCATCTCAAAGATACAAATGATACTCCATACCCACATAAATTTCATGTATCAATTTCATTGGAAAATTTTATTGAAAAATTTAGTAACAATTTGAAACCTGGAGAAATATTAAATAATGAAGTATATAGTATAGCTGGACGTGTACATGCAATAAGAGAATCAGGTGCTAAACTTATTTTTTTTGACCTTAGAGGAGAAGGTGTTAAAATTCAAGTAATGGCAAATGCAAGGCACTATAAAGATGAAGAAAAATTTACTCCTGATATTTCTAAGATAAGAAGAGGTGATATTATTGGTGTAATTGGAAATCCTGGAAAAACTAAGAAGGGTGAATTTTCTATTATGCCACATAGTATTATTCTTTTGAGTCCTTGTTTACATATGTTGCCAAATCTTTATTTTGGATTAAAAGATAAGGTATAAAAAATTTAAAAATTCTATTCTAATCTATATCACTGATCTTTATCTATGTCACTTTAAATTAGATAATAATAATTTATCATTTAGGAAACAAGATTTCGTCAACGTTATTTAGATCTTATATTAAATGATAAAGTAAGAAAAACTTTCCATATACGTGCAAAAATAGTCGCATATGTTCGCAAATTTCTTGACGAACTTGGATTTTTAGAAGTTGAAACACCAATGATGAATATGATTCCGGGTGGTGCAACAGCTAAGCCTTTTATTACACACCATAATGAATTAAATATGGACTTATATATGCGCATTGCTCCTGAATTATATCTTAAAGTAAAAAATATTTTTTATATCTTATATTATAATTATATTTATATGTTTATATCAAATTATTATTTAATTATATGGTTGTAGATGTTGGTAGTAGGAGGATTAGATAGAGTATATGAAATTGGCAGACAATTTAGAAATGAAGGTATAGATCTAACACATAATCCAGAATTCACAACTTGTGAATTTTATATGGCTTATGCAGATTATAATGACTTAATGTCCATTACGGAAGATATGGTATCAGGAATGATAAAATCTATTCATGGTAGTTATAAAATAACATATCATCCAGATGGACCAGAAGGTGAAGCAGTAGAAATTGATTTTACTCCACCATTTAAACGACTTTCAATGATGAAAACATTAGAAGAAGTTTTAAAAATTAAATTACCTTCAGCAGACAAATTAAATAATCCTGAAACAAATCAAATACTTAGTGATCTTTGTACTAAATATGAAATTGAATGTCCTCCACCAAGAACAACAGCTAGATTATTAGATAAAGTAATATTTTAAATTAGTAAATATTAAAATATTATTAATACATATAGTTATACATATATATGTCAACAAATTGTTAACAGCTTGTTGGAGAATTTATAGAAGAAACTTGTATTAATCCTACATTTATTTTGGATCATCCTCAAATTATGTCTCCATTGGCAAAATGGCATCGTTCTGAACAAGGTTTAACAGAACGATTTGAATTATTTATTATGAAGAAAGAAGTTTGTAATGCATATACAGAATTGAACGATCCAATAGTACAAAGAGAAAGGTAATAATATCATTTGAATAAAAATTTCTTATAAATTATATAATAAATTACATAATTTTTTAAATTTGTCTAATAATATCAGTATATATTTATTTGATCAAAATATATAGATTCGAGGAACAAGCAAAAGATAAAGCAGCTGGAGATGAGGAAGCACAAGTCGTTGATGAAAACTTCTGTACAGCATTAGAGTATGGTTTACCACCAACTGCTGGTTGGGGAATGGGAATTGATCGTATTACTATGTTTCTCACAGATTCAAATAATATTAAGGTAAATTTTCAAATGAATATAAAAAGAATATAAGTAGAATATAATAATAATATTCTTTTAGGAAGTGCTACTATTCCCGCAAATGAAACCAGATGATCCAAATAAAAATCAAGGAATATCTGAAGATGATAAAACATTAAATGATAAAATAAATCATGTGGAAAAATGAAGATTTAATACTATGACCTTATATTCTTTTGCAGTGTGCAAATTAAAGAATAAACAAAGTATGCTTCCAAAAAATAATGATAATATTATTTTTATTCCATATGTTTTGTATGTATTACTTACTACCAAAATAGTACAAAACTATGAGAACACATGAGAAAAGTATTAACATATATTCACACATACACACAACCTTAATATTTTTACTATAATAATATCGCTTTAATATTTAATTTTAATTATAAATTAAATTTGTATTATAAAAAACATAAATGATATTTATTTAAATATATATTTACATTAAAACTTTGGAGCAAGCAAGCACTGAACAGTAATGTGTACTTGCAATTTGCTGGCAGCTTCATTATATTGTCAAATATTTAAGTAATAAATAAATACAATTTTCATAATAGCGCAATAATCATTTACAAAAAAACCACAAAGGAAGACTTATTAATTCTTATTATCTTAAATCTAACTTACTATTAACAAAAATTATAGATTTTTAAGTGTACATTAGTTAAAGTTGCCAGAGAAACTTTGAATTATTAATTTAAAATTGATATGTTTCCTGGACATTTAAATTGTGGCAGCTTTGAATGGTTCATGTATTTTATCATAGTAAAAAGTGTTACAAAACATGCTTAATTTCTCTTCTTGTTAACATTAGCGAAATATAAAGTCCATTTTTATCAGCTTTCTTCTTCTTTAACATATTTTGTAACAGAATTATAATGAGCACCTAATTCATACATATGCCGATGATAAGTCAATACCATTTTCTTTTCATTATTATAATTATCACCAATAACATATGGTGCACCTGATGCTTGAATAACTTCTATTGGACATTTTAATACATGTGAAAGGACTTGTAACTATTTAAAAAACAAATAACTTAATATAATGTATCAGAAAAATATAAATATTTTTTTATTTTATTTTAACTTACTTCAATAGCTCCACCCCACGCACTTGTATCTGCCACATCATCACAATATTTTTCATACTGTTCTGGTGAGAGAAAATCATCAGAATCTGGATTAGAAATAAATGGTAAAAATTCATTCATATTTTCTCTTAAATATATAGCAGTTTTTGATCTGAGTTCATGAAAATTTAATGGTGTCTCTCCTATAATTTTTAATTGATGTGCAACAGCATTATACAAACTGAAAAAATTAATATGGTAATCAAAAATATAATTAACATTATATAATTATAAATTAATAAACTTACCAATGGCCATCACTTGGAATCTCATAAATCATTAGACCACGTTCATAAAGAATTTTTTTAATAGTTTGCAATTCTACATTCCTTTTTCCAAAAACATTTAATGCTTCTTGTTCTATGATTCTCTGATTACGTTCTCTTTCAGCATTTGCTTTCTTATCTCTCCTTTTTTGTGCTTTTGAAACTCTCTGTATTGGTTGTTCATATTGTTTATTATCTTTTGTGCTTTCGTTACTATTACTATTTTCTATATTTTCATTTTCCACATTATTGATATTAAGATGTGTAACCTTCCATATAGTTAATTCTTCTTCTTGTTTTTTATCTAGAGCTTCTTCTAAACGATTGATTTCCTCAGTTACCTCTTTTTTCTTTTTCTTATCACCCTTACAAATTGACTTTTTTAATATTTGTATTTGTGCTAAAATTTAAGATATATAGTACAAAAATTACAACTAAAATTATATTATATACTTAACGTAATAAAATATTTTTTATAAAAAAATTTATATACACGCAATATGGTAAATAATTTTACATTGAAGAATATATTATTAATAATTAATTAAAAATATTTTATAATTCAAAATTATTTAATTTTATTACCTTGTAATTCTTTCCGTTCTTTTTTATGTCTTTGTGTTAATTCTTTTTCCGTTAATTCTAATTCTGCCATTCTTAATTTAGAGGTTATTTAAAAATTATATATTTATTTTAAGGTTAGGATATAAAGTACTGACATGATAAACTGATACCGATACATCATAGCATTTTCATGAATCAATTTCTACTTTTGATATGAAATTAGGTAAGTCTTAAATATCTTCTTTTTGTTTTAACTAAATATTTAAAAATTATTGTATATTAAGTCCATTTATTTTTGAGAAAAAATTCAAAATTTGTTATTAAATAAAAAATTAATTAACTTAATTATTAATATATCTAATTTTTCATTCGTAATTTTATAATTATTTTAAATATTAATTAAATATATCGAATAGATCTTAATCTCTCATATAATATAATAAAGTAATCATCGTTTTCATAGAAACATGATTAAGGAGGCTATTTATCTTTATATACTAATACCTTTATGTTTCAAACTATAAAAACAGGCTTTCAGTTAGTGATATGTTAGTCGTACTGTTACCGTGATAAAAGAAGGTTGTGTAATTGCTTCGATTGTTGATTTAATTATTGAACATTAAAAATGGCAACAGATGAAAATTCTTGGAGAACACAAAGTTTTCGACAAAGTGTAATTGCGAAAATGTAAGTTAATTTATGTCGAAAAATTATAAATGGTAAAATATTTCTTTATTTTAACATAATTAAAATAATTTATATTATAAAAAAATTAAAAACGTTATAATATTTTGTTTTTAAAAATAAATTTGTATATATAAATAAATAAAAAATAAATATTATATTTATTAAAAATATTTTATAGAGATGAAGCTGTTCAAATGTCTGGGATGCCTACTGCAAAAAACAGTATTGAAATGGAAAATCATGTTTTCCAAAAAGCAAAAACTAAGGTTTGTCTTTTAAAGTTATTTAAAGTTATTTAAAGTTATTGTAAATTAGTTATTAAATCTAATAAATAATATATATAAAAATTTTGAAAAATAAGTATATTATTTATCTTTCATATTAAAAATAAAATTATTTATTATTTTTATTAATAATAAATTTATTTATTTGCAGGAAGAATATCTAGGTTTTGTGGCTAGATTAATTCTACATGTCAGAGAATTAAGTAATATAAATATTTTAATTTATATAAAATAGTTAGTTTTACCATAAATTTAAATGATTGACATTATTTATAATATAATATATTTTTATATTAGATACTAAAAAAGGTACAGGAGGTAATGCATCAGGAGGTACAGCTTGTTCTGGGAATCAAGGAATGCCTGATCCAATTGGAGCATTACAAACATTAGCACGTCAAGGAACTGGAAATAATCAAATGATGAATATGAGTGGACCAGGATCCAATCCTCAAGGAATAATTCCACAACCACCTACAAACACTGCTACTAATTGTAAGTATATATTTTTTTCTTCTATGTAATAAAATATAGTAATATTTAAATTTTTCTGATTGCAAGTTATAATAATTTATATAATTAATTAAACAATCAATCATTTTTTAAAAAAAGAAAAATTAAAATATATTATATTATATATAAAATATTTTATTTTATATTTTTAATTACTTTTTTATATAAAATAATTTCTATTCTAATTGAAAATTATTGAAACACCTTATATATTTTTCGATATATATTATATATATTTACTATATAATATATATATATATATATATATATATATATATATAT